TCTCATGATGGTTGACTCATGTATCATGTTTGGTGACAGAATTATTGTTCCAAAAGTATTACGCTACAAGGTTCCGAGACAAGTCCACAGCGGTCATCCTGGTATCAATAAGATGAAAGCGCTGGCTCGAAGCTACGCACACTGGCCTACGGTGGATCAAGATATCGAAACCAGATGCCGCAATTGTTCACCGTGCCTACAAGCAGCCGAAAGTCCAAGCAAGTGTGAACCGCAACAACGGGAAAAGCCGAATAGTCCCTGGGAGAGGCTGCATGCAGATTTCGCCGGTTCAATACGAGGAAGAATGTATCTAGTCATAGTAGACGCGCTCACAAAATGGCCACAAATCTACGCCATGGTGAATGGCACAGCCAGTGAAACGATCGGCAAGTTATCCGACCTGTTTAGCTGCTTTGGAGTTCCTGAGAATTTATTGACCGATAACGGCTCATAATTCACTGCAAAATCATTCAAGCACTTCTGCAACGTTAATGGCATTGTGCATATACGATCTCCACCGTATCATCCTCAATCAAATGGCCAGGCAGAGCGCTTCGTGGATACATTGCAAAGAACACTACTGAAAAAGGGAAACGAAGGGACAACTGGGCAGATGATCACAAAAATTTTAACATCCTACAGATCCACTCCGAACCCGAATGTTCCAGACGGCAAGTCTCCTGCGGAGTCCATGTTCGGAAGGCGTATTCGAACCGTCTTCGATGTCATGTTGCCGTCCAAATTAAAGGATGAACGCAGTCACGATCCAAGTATCCAGAACTTTAATGTTGGCGACAAAGTTTACATTAAATCCTACACTGGGAAGAACCGATGGGAGCCGGGAGAAGTTGTACAAAAAGTGGGGAGAGTTCTGTACGGAGTTCGAGGAGCTTATGGGATATGTATACGACACACAAATCGAATCCTTAAGGACAAAAGAACGGTGCAGACTCGAAGTGACCGGTCGATTTTCCCGTTAGATTTAATCTTAGGTGCACCAATGCCACAAATGCCCAGGAACACTGGAAAGAAGCCTAGGACAAGGAAGACGATATGAATAATGGGACGCCGTCGCGACCCAGTTGTCAAATTACAAGTAGATCCCTGAAAGAAATCTTATTCAGGGGAGGTGTTGAGTCGGCTTCTGTAGAACTTCAACAGAGCCTCCACAGGCCCAAAAGTAGCCGAAGGGTCTTAGCCAATCAGAGTATGACGGAACGTTCGAGAATTCCAGTGTGGCGTTCTACGATTGGTCGGTAGCATAATATGTCGTTATCGGATTGGCTGAAAAATGATGATGATTTAACAGACGCCAACATCTATAAATACCCATTATTTTCTGTACAAAAGTGAACCTTGGGATAAAGTATTTTCTCTTATACTTGTGTCTTCTCTCTGGTGTAGTTCTAGACTGCGGGTTACCGGAATAGCTTAGGAAACCAATACAGTGTTCAATTCACATTACTTATCAGCTCGGTCACGCATCCGCACCAGACCACGAGTGGGTACGCTGTGCTACTCATTTTTCTCAACTAACAGCCAGTTTAGACCAGATGTTCCTTCAACATACCGATAACCTTCCAAATATATCTTTGAACTCCTTCATTCATGACTTTTGATTTGAGTGGGTTGGCATACTCCGATTCTAAGGGTGTTACTAGTTAAGGCGTTGTCAAACTCCAGATACTTGTAGCATCGTTATTGTTCGGCCCGATGCGATCTGGTACACTAACTCGTAGGCTGTGAGTCTGTTCCTTGTTGGGACACTACATACCACTTTTATACTTGGATTTCTACATACTGTGATATTTTTTTCTAGTTCATTGTTATACTTAATATTCGTCATGGTGGAACACACTCCTAAGTTATATAAGATTAGAACCCTTTCGCCTCCCTCATTTCCATTAAAGCCAGTTGACCCGACAGTATCGAAGTCTGGGTCTGCCACGCAGCAGCTGACTCCCACGAGCGTCTTTTAAGGAAGCTTTCCAACTGGAGACTATGTGCGACTAAATGCGTAGACCAATACTGACGATCCGTCGATTGAGTGCATATTTATCCTAATCTAGATCTATTGCTTGATTATAATTTTTAAATACCATATCCCTAATATTGCCTTGCTCATTATCATTGCTGCTGCATTATTTGAACCCTTTTTTCATCTTGCTATGGCGATTTGAGCTACAAACATTTGTACAAGACTCCACGTTGGTTATGACTGTAACTTACAATTAAACCGAATAGAAGTCGGATAGATTTATATTTTTTACCTCAAGTTAAATTGAGTGTGCAATACTTCCACGTGTCAGACAAAAATACCAACTAATTAAAAGTCAGGCAAGCCACTGTGATAATTAGAAGTATTCAACCTAATTTAATAACTAAGAATTTCTGAAGTAGTTTAATTTAAAATAGGTAGATCTAGCTGAGCAAAACTGGATTTATTAGATTTGGGATTCGTAATGTGCACGCACTCAAGGATAAAGGAATCATCAGTTAGTACAACTTTCAAAGCCACTCCTCTGGTTTGAGATTTAGCGCTGACTTAACACTAACAAAATGAGGACTACAAGTACCTAACCAGTGTATATCTTCATAACGTAGCTTGTATTTACCCAAACAACTAATAAAGCAGAAATTAAAGGCGAACATGCGTTGGAAAATAAAAGGGAAACGCGCCAAAATGTCTTCTTTTTTGCTTGTCTGGGGGAAATAATGCGGATTCCACCTTTTTTGTCGCTCTGTCTCTCAAATGTCCCCGAATTGTCTACTTTTCGCCTAAATATACGCCAATTGTCTACTTTTGCATAACACCAATGGTCACCTGTGTTCGCCTTTATTCCCACAACTCACCACGTGAAAAATGGTATATGTTCAAATAAATTTATTGAAAAGGGAAAGCGTATCATTACACAACATTATGGCAGAAGCTTGAGTATCAATCGTCATGCATTTTCATTGTAATTGCCAATTAATTGTTATTTGAAAAGATCTCCAAAAAAAGAAACAGGTGATGTATTATTAATAAAGCATGTGTATTTAATCGCAACTTCACTGACAATCAAGCACACTTTCTCAGCACTTCAATAGTTTCCCAAGTTAGTAATAAAGTAAGCTCATTTACAAAATAATGTTTGTTAAAAAGTAGAACGTAAAATACATTTCACGGATTACTTCCTTTGGCCACGCATGTTCCACTATTGAAAATGAAAATAATCTTCCTGTGAATTCTGAAGTGTAAAGAACAAAAGAATTTACAACGATATCTAAATGACATGATTTGACACAGCCAGATACTTAAAGCTTCACTTACAGTTATGTTCGTTAATACTGTTGACTATAACTATAGAGCAGTAGGCAAGTTATCACTTTAAATTAGTGCATACCTGCTCTTGTTTCCTCCTATTACGCTTTATCAATTTGTCTCTGACATCGTGAAATTAACCTTGTGTCGCCATGTCGTACAGCTTCGAAAGGTCTTTTTTATTGACAGAGGTCGACAAAAAGCGATTTGTTAATGCAACCTGAAGTTTAAATAATAGACATAGATTAGTTCATATGCAGCCTTTAAACCGGCATTTCTGAAGTGCCAAGTAGCGTGAAATTACTGGCCACCTCAGGTGTCATGAGGTACGACAAAACATATCGCATTGAGGTTTTAGTATCATTATCCATTAACCTCGTTACCATTGCCACCTGTAATACGAACAAATTGTTCAATTAATGTTGTTGACTTACAAATCTGTCCCTGATTTTTTTCAGCTGCAAACCAGTGTCCAGCATCTGCCGTTTCTCTTCAGATGACAAAGGGAACTGCTGACTTGATAGTCCGCAATCGGATTGATGCGGATGTTCGCGTTCACTGAAATTCGCTAGTAACAGCTTTACATTTGTACTCAAATCAGAAATAGGCGAAGAAATGTTGTGCATCATTGTATACAACCTACCAAATCTGATAAACTTCACTTGATCAGACAGGTGACTTACTCGGCCGCTGAAGCACAACCTACACGCTTAGACTTTAATGTTGAAGGTGATGTATCGAATTGTGTCGAACTATTTAATTAACATCTAAATAGTAATGAAACCTACTTAGTGATTGGCGAGATGACGTTGTCAAACAATCGAAATTTTGGATATTGTACGCGGTTATTTCCAGACTGCATCTCGGCCACATCCATATCTACTGAGTTGTTAAGAAAGCTTTCTTTATGCTTGAATGCACCTCTATGAAGTGTTAGTAGGATTATTGTACTGACCCCTTGGGATTCTCAGTGTTTAGTGGCATTGTGTTTTCATCCGTTAAACCGGTTTTACGGTAAAGATCCGGTTTTTGGAAGGAAACATTCCTGATGCTGCTCGGTAAGTCCGGAACAAGAACTCGAAAACCATTCAGAATCCGATTAACATCTCTGTTGCTCAGAGAGGTTATTGTAAGTAAATACATCAATATGTCCTTGATCTGCTGTTTACGATTTACGAACTTCTGAGAGCACAAATTGACGTCATTACAACCTATAAGAAATATACCAACGTAATCACTCCATATAAATACCATAATTATCTTGAAGCCTTTGATTAGTGTTGCTAGTAGATGGTGTAACGGTTGAAGGACTTTTATTACAATGGTTTATCTCACGACTTCTATCAATTAGACATACACCACTATTAAAGTCAGTTACCTTTTATTGTGCTTTCATTAGCAAACTCACTTAACAGAAGCAAGTTATGTTTTTCCATTAAAGCTGCTCGCATTTTATTCCACCTTCTGTTATAAGTGGATCTATGACAAGTTTACAGTGGCCCTAGGTCTACGAACATTCTCACTGACTTCAATTCAACGCATATTATCGGACTTACAAGGTAATTAATTAAAATGAACATAAAAATCGGAGAGCACGTCACTCACTTGCATCACGTAAGTTATTTGTCGGAACACTTTAGGTAAACAAACGAGACTATAATTTGTGGACGACCTTTGAACAATTGAGTGACCTTGATAAATATTAGTCAATCAGCAAACAGTAAGCATAAAGTAAAAATGGTAAGACCAAATTATGGACGAGCCAATCAGAAGCGTGTTAGATATTTCAAGGTCATGGCGCCAACTGCAGTGTTTAATGCTAACGTGCGTTCGATTCACAAGGGATTTTGTACAAAACGTGATAGTTGAGCGTCTATAACAATTAAAACGGTGAGACCATAATTTGTGGACGAATCAAGCAGGTATAAGATAACAGATCTTGGATTTTGGCGCGGAAGCTTTTTATCTATTTGGCTAAGTAGATTTCATGAAATTTCCCCATACTTTGGGGAAAACTATTTCATTTTGGGAATTTCCTCAAAGTTGTCAGCTTGAGCAAGCATTATAGCTGATATCAGTTCGTGATGAAAACCCTACATATAATTCCTAATTAAAGCAAATCATGACAATTATTGTGAATTAGATAATAAAATCACCAGTAACACTGGCTGCAGCCAGGTAGTACAATATATACGGATGATTGGAAAGCGTACAGACTCCTGCATAGGCTTGGTTATGTACATCGTGTCGTTGTCCGCTAGTGGTATTTTGCGTACTAGACAACTGTAGTGCACATAAACAATATTGAAACGATGTGGTCGAGGCCGAAAAAGTTTTTGAAACTTTATCATGGCTCCAGACGCCGACTGTTCTCTAGCCATATGGATGACTTCATGCATTACGATTTTAGAACTTCTGAAACTTTTTCTAACCTTGACAAGTTTTTCGAACCATTTATAAGAAATGTATTCACATTATTTATTTGGTTTTGCATAATATATTATTACTCTACTGACTGTTTGCTGATTGGCTAACACTCATCAAGTCCACCTAAGATTCGTTCAAAGGTCGTCCATAAATTATAGTATCGCCGAGAGACTCAACGGCTTTACTCAGATCTATGAGAGTTACATTCACCGGAATATTTCTGTCTTTCGCAGCAGCCCAATCTTTTCCCACATGATAGACCTTTCCTAAAACCATGTTTTTCCTTGCTGAAAAAATTCCGGGCAATTTTGGGTGAATTTTTGGGAAGGAACTTGGTCATTTTTAGGAAAAATCGCTCACTTGAGTAAATTATAAATTGGGTTACATTCATCTATACTGATCAGTAAATAAATGTTCTTTGAACCCATATCAAGCTTCTCGCTTGCATCGAGTATGTTGAAACTAATTAAATGTAGCGTCTAAACATTGAAATAAATGAGCATCTTGTTAGAACTAAGTTTTCTTCACATATGTACGCAAACCCCTCATTAATTATTTTTCAGATGATGGTTGACGACAATTGATTTTTCTGTCATCTTCGATGTTGACGTTTCTCCGATCTTCTTATGCAAATATTATTGACCACTACTTATGTAAAAATTAATAATAAATCGTCCTCATTCAAACCACTATTTTGTTTCATGTTTTGTACTCAGATAATTTGATTGACTTGGGGAATTAAAGGCGAACTTCCTAAGTATACAGTATACTCGTCCGTTGAGTCTTGAGAAAAATGTACTATTTTGTTTGTTAATACTGCAAAAAAGTTTTTCTTGACATTTTTCTGGTATTAACAAATTAAAATAACCTGACAGCCTTTTAGTAATCGCATTAACCAGTGAGTGACCTACAAAATTCATATCCTTCAATCCCTATTGTGTATAACTATGTTTATTTTGTATCTTACTGTTTCTATTTGAATATATCATTGTACTAAATAGAAACCTAATCTTCTTACTGTCTTGTTTTTAACCTTAGTCCAGTCCGAAATTTGCACCAATTGTCCTTTCTTATAAACATTTGTCATATATCGTATAACTGTTTCACCTATCGATAAGCATTCTATTTAATTGATTAAAACAGTCCTCAGGCTTTGCATCATTCGTTAAATCATAATCCATGGTACAAACTGGAGTTTATCCAGTCGAAATAATGTATGACTGTTCCATATTTATGAATGATTGTTTTAACCGTATTCATGATAAACATTCACCTCAGTTTTCGTGATGATTTGGAAAAAATCGGTTATGTTCTTGTAAATACCTGTTTTTCTTGTCACAGTTTCTCAGTTCTTTATTGAATCAAAATAAATCCTCTTGTATAGATATCAGTTCTGAAGTTTATCACTAACCTCAAATGTTTTTATTAACTCTTAACCCTTACAGTTTTGTTTCTCAACAAGTTACCATTTCCTCAGCACAATATGTTAAATATTGTGGGCCATTTACCTCAAAAGTACAGTGACAATATTCTTGTTACCCATAATAATCATGATATGGTATATGAAGTTAGAGGATTTCAATTGCATTCACTTCATTTACCATCAATGCAAACAAACAATGACAGTAAAAAGATACCTATTGAAACAAATCTTGTGGATATCGACTATTCACCTGGAATATGTTCGCTACTATGTTGTTCTGATAAAGGAGATGTCCAGATATGGGATATAAGAGATAACACTCCACAGGTACGTGATATGTTTCTTGTTCAATTGTAAAGTTGTCCTCAGAATTCAACATCTGAATTGTTTATTTTTCAAAAGGGCAAAATAGGTTACAACCTCAAGTTCATAAATTACTGTTACTGGGTCATTGACCCAAGACTTCAGCCTTAGGAATAGTATATCTCCAACCACCAATTCTGGCTAATACATAAACCTGTACTTCATTATAAAGTATTATTATAATAGGTTTGCGAAAGATTAAAATTCGTCACTTACTTAAAACACAAATTTAGGACAATATGCCTACCAAGTTACATATAATCTTACTTTCGTACATGCGTCTGTTACTCCTCGTGCGGCACAAGCCGCCGGTCAGGGATACTCAACCTACTCGATCTTGTGTTCTTTACAGTTGTTGCCGAATGCTATTTATTATTTTGATATCTGCCTACAGCTTCTGGCGCAATGTGTTGATTGGTCTTCCTCTATTCCTTTTGCCTTTGATGATTCCAAGTTAGGGCTTGCCTCGTGATGCACCGATGATTCCCTCAACGAATATTCTACCCACTTCCAGCGTCCTTCGTAATTTCCTCTTCAGCCGGCATCTGGTTTGTTCTCTGCCGTAGTAGATTGATGCTGATGGTATCCGGCCAACGGATATAAGACATCTTGTGTGGAAAACTGTTTATGAGTATCCATACGTTTTTAATGATGGATGTAGTAGTAGTTCTTAAAATTTCACTTCTGTACAATAGGACTGTCTTGACGTTCATATTGAAAATTCTGACTTTGATGTTGGCTGACAGTTGTTTTGAGTTCCATATATTCTTCGATAGTAGGAATCCTGTTGTTAGTTTGCCAATCCTTGCCTTCACACCTGCGTCGGATCCTTCTTGTTCATCGACGATGCTACCCAGTTGCGTAAAACTTTCCGCCTTTTCCAGAGTTCCTTCATAATGTGATTGGGTTGGTTCTCACTACGTTATACTTCAGAATTTTTTTTCCACGTGTAAATGTGTATGAAATAAAGGGGCTATATCATTTGCAAACTCTAAATCATCCAACTGCACCCAAGGTTTTCACTTGTCCCCAAATGCCCTGGTATGGCCGAGATTGGGGTGGGCCCGCCCTCCCTCTCGAAATGCTCTCACACGGCCACGCGTATACAGCCCCTACCAGGGAAGTCCTACACACTGCCTTCTCGTGGCGCGGGTGTTGTTTACGAAATCGAGAGGACGAAAAGCGAATGTCCGGCGCTCTAACCGGATCCCAAACCAATGGTGCACATGGGCTCGAGTATCCTGAGGGAACAAATGACGTATGAACCAATGGTTGGTCACCGGCTACCACGGGATGGGATCTCCTCACGATACTCCATTGCCTTGTGGGTCAGACATTTAGGTCAAAGGTTCTGGGTGTGGCCCCTTTAAAAACTACCTGCTTTGGTCTGGGCAGTATCACAGCCCACACATAAATATAATGAATTTGTGTGGCACATATATATTTGGTGACCTCTTGTACCAATATTTATTTGTTCAGATAAACAAATAAGTAATTAAATCAGGATAATCGAGTCCTTTCATAGCCACTTCTCTACAATAGACTGCAGCTTCTCATTAAATTGATCTTTATCGTCTTCATTGCTATCCCTAGTGGGTGCATAGCACTGGATAACATTCATTGTGGTTCCCTTTTTCTTTGTTTTGAAGGATCGTATGAATGCTTTTCGTGCTTCTTTAAACATTATCAGTGCAAGTCATGTGTGCGAAGCAATTTCTTCATGATCAGAGTACAACATCAACTCTCTCGATGGTAACCTTTTCTTTCTAGCTTGTGTCTAATAGGTTACACTTATTCCAAGAAGAGCCAGAGTGTATTTTCTCATTTCCACGTCTACTTGAATGGTCATTCCATTCCCCTATATGAAGATTCTTTGCGCCTATATTACATGTTGTTCTGATTTTCAGAAGAGGCATGGTTCTGTGAATTCCAAAGAATCTCGGCTTTCATTACGAGGTATCATTACTCTTGCATATGAAGACCCTTGAGTTCACATGGTAGAGTTTATATAGTTTAAGTGATTCTTCCTTGTTAGAATTTTATTTAGCAAGGCCCTCTTTACGGGATGGGGTTGCTAACCTCGCTTCAAATCCTTATCTATCCTGACTTGCAACCAGCATTAACCCTTGAAAGGCTTCAGTTGGAGTTATATATATCATAACTTATTTCACACACAGGTTATTCTGAAATGGATATTGTTTAGCAGTGGAATTCAGGACTCATGTTTCGTCCCATCTGGAATGTGCGTGGATCGAAGAGCTGAGCTGTCTTGGAGTGAACGCCTATTCCGCGATGCTGGTACATTCACCTGACGGTTCCCAGATGAGACAAGACGCGCGTCCTGAATTCCACTGCTAGCCATCCATCTCTGTCTAAAAATGCTTGAAACTTAGTGGCAGTATAGAGGCATTAATCACAAGATGCACACATACTTAAAGAAAGTGATCAATTGCAGTCCTAGACATACATTAATGTAAAGATTCAATTAACCAATATATGTAAATTAAAGCTCATTCTGATTATCAAATGCCATTTAGACTTGATAAGTAGGTTGTCCGTAATCACCATCAGCTTTCCTGTCTTCTGAATAACTTGTTCATCAACGACAGAATTGTCACTAATGAAACTACTATTAGGTCATAGACTAAATACTATCAGTTCTGTTCACTTATATTTATCTTAAAAGTTAAAATTGAACACAGATTACCAAATTATAGTGTTATATCCTAGTAAAGGTTAAATTACGGGTAACTTTAGAGAACTATTAATGGTCTAATATTATATATATATATATATATATATATATATATATATATATATATATATATATATATATCATTGTTTAACTGTTCAGTGACTAGATTATGTATGTCTATATTCCTTTTATTGTAAGCTTCATTTTGACCTGTAGATTATTATTATTATGCGATTTACTGCTCTTAAGTTATGTTCAGTTTATTAACTACAGTTTCACGTGTTCACAGCCACTTTTTGGCTTGATCTTGTATAAATGTTATTTCTTATTTTATGGTGGGATACAGTCTGTGTGGCTGGTATATAAACAAAGTATGTTTGAAATAAATGATTCGCATAGTGGAAGCTGTTATTGGCGTTCTGGACGAGCTAGGCGAACAAAAGACCAATAAGGATACTAGGCTGTTCATGCCGGTCGAACGTCATTGTTTTAGCACAGTGCTTACATTGAATAAGTCGTATTTCGATTGGCGAATAAATCACGTGATAACTATCGGGGCTTAAAGTCACAACAGTTTATAATTACTGATTGGCGTTTAGCAATCGAACGATACTGTGTTTTTATTCACTCGTCAAAATGGGAGTACGTTATATAGTATACTGGTTGAATGTTAGATGTTCTCAGTCAGTCAGTAAAATACTTTAAACTTGAGTTTCATCACTGTTTTCACTTTTTTGTGCGACATATCTCACAGTGGAGGGAACAGTTCAAATGTATAAGTTCAAACACTGATCAATTATCCATTTATTGGCTTTTTTAAAGAAATCTAGTTGTGACATGATTTTGTTTTGGTATAAATAATCTAGTGGTAACATTTCTATTCATGGCAAATAAGAGCATTAATACTTCGACAATTACAGGTACGCCCTGTTTATCGAAAATGGACAAGTATAAATCGTGCTTACAGCTTCCCAACCGTTTCTGCTATTTTGGACATCGTGATGAACCAGTCGGGCTATACTGGCTGGAACAATCGTTCCCCAATGTTTTACCATTCCAGGCAGGTCGATTGAAGAGCGGTAAGACTAAAAGTAGCAAACCCAAGGTCCGAAGGCGAAGTCGTACTGCTGACTGTACGGAGGTGTGACGGTAGTAAGGTGTTTTCTTCAGACAACCAGTATAATAGCGGTGCTGCCTTCCCACAAGGAGGGGTGGGATTAGAAAAGGTCAACCTTAAAAATGCACACCTCGCCTTGTCCTACGGATATCCGTCTCTGGCAGCAAGGTCTCAACGAATACGGAGTCAACACGAAAATTACTCACAAAAAGGTCGTGTGTGACCGACCTCACATAGTTGTCCCTTAGGCACTGTGGTCACACTCTCAGGTCAATAAGACCACTCGTAACCCAATTTTTTTAGGTGCCCCCAGAAGAACCCTTCCACTGTGTGGGCAACCGAGAAGTGATGACCGCTCTCATACTTTTAATGGCTTACGGTTTCTTGTTACTAGACATTAAAAGTTTCAGTTGTCCTGGTGCGATCCTTATAACAACAACTTTCCAATATTTTTATCACTTTGTTATAACTTGTGAAACTGTGTGCCCTGTTATTGTATAACGCAACGATACCGCCAGTCAGAGAGCAGCGAATTATTGATCAAATCAGTGACGCATAAAACAAGTGCGAGCAGCCTAGAGTCCTGATTGGTCTCGCTCCCTGTCTAGCCCAGCCAGTTAAGTCCAGAACACCAATTTCAGCCTCTTCAATATGGATCATTTATTTTCAAGCATACGGGGTTTATATACCAATCAAACACCACAACGTACCATAAAATAGAAAATAACATTTGTACAATTTTTGGCCAAAGGTGGCTGTGAATGAGGGAGGTAGTGATTAACAGACGGAATAATTCAAGAATGGTGAAACGTATAATAATAGTTCATAGGTCAAAATAAAACTCATAATAACAGGGACATGGATATGAACAGTTTAGTTACATAACAATTACACGATAAAAATATACTCAGTATTGGTCCATAAATGGATCCCGAAAATCACCATTCATTATTCTCATCGGGATATAACACCTCCCCTTTTTGAAGATCCGGATTTTAAATTTTCCAGGTTTATCCTCCCCAACGAAACAGTGTTTGATCCTCATATTCCCAAGTTACAATTGATTTGACTTTATTTAAAACGTATTTGTCACATTGAACAGAGAACTTACTAGAGGTGATTAAATGGTGAGGATCAACGTCGCTTGATATGAGGTCATCAAAGTTTGATTCTTCTGGAACATTGTCATCAGATTTCTTGAAAATCTCATTAGTAGATAGTCGGTCACTAGAACAATCAGCATCTATCAAAATTTTATTAGGTTCTTGATCATCGTTTGGTGCATCCGACAAATTTTTCTCATTTTTGTAAGAAATTTGATCAAAAGCAGATGAGTCATTGAGATAACTCATATTTGATAAAACAACTAGAGAACTCCAATTAGTAGATTCATCAGAACTTTTTGTTCTGGAATGATGAGCTCCATCTAATGCTGCTTGATCCATTTTCTGTCTCTTCGTGGGCGATGGGATTTGAACTCACGACATGGAATGTCTCTGAAATGGACATTTCTAGACCACTGGGAGGATCGTGAATGACTGCTACTGCTTTGCTTACATTACTGCTCGTCAAGGATTCATGGAGGCTTTTATCGACACATTCATACGTTCTGCATTCATTTTCCAGCTCTGTATACAAGTTAGGAATTAGTTTATCAACTTCTGTCACATTTCCAAAACACGGATGATTTAGAAGCCGTGTGCGTATATTGTCTAAAAAAATTCAACTGGTTATTTTTAAAACGCTGATGTTTTCGCTCAAATAGCAACTGTAATTGATCGGAAGAGATAGCCATTTTCTGAATCAGCGCGGTAATGACTAATTAACAATCAGTGTCGTTGAAGGACACCGGCGAGAATTTCGTATGCTGATTGCTCGAAATAATTAGACTGAATTTCGTCCAATTACAGGATGACGTTGAAGATTGAGGGTTCAGAATTTTTCTCCTATCCCGTCGCAACTTAAGATTGAATTTAATTTTAATATCAATATTTTTAAATTATCTACTCCAATCATACGGACCTCATGCGTTACATTCAGATACAATTTTACCAGTGATTTATTTATATTAACTATTCATACTGTTAATAATATATTATTTTTTTCTTTCATCCATATATTAATGAAAAACTGTCTTGAATTTTTTCTTTAATAACAAAACAGCCCACTATCCAGTCTTATAAACAGTTTATGAATGTACCTTTCACTTGTTGTTCTATCAGTGCAGATGGCAGTCTAATTTGTTGTGGTACAGAAGTTTACAGATTGAAAAAGAAACGTCGAAAACATAACTCCAGAAATATTAGTGAATACGATGAGGAAACAGCTCAATTAGTTTATTGGGACATACGAAATTTATCATCTCCATTGGGTATTATTAAAGATTTACATTCAGATGATATTGTTGATGTAAAATTCGACCCTACTTCTGTTCCTGGTTATCTACGCCTAATGGATTGTTCTGAAGATGGCGTAATATGCTTGTATGATATGAATGCAGAGGCAATTTCACAGGATAATTCTCTTTTATATGTGAGTTTAAATTGGAAATAACTTCTCATATTATCTTTCGAGGCTGGCAATAAAGGAGGACATAAAGTAATTGTTATTTTATCAGGAGCAGCTCATTAGTGTGAATCCTAGTAGGCAATAATATTCTTGGTGTAAAACTCAAAACCATCATATATATATATATATATTTTGAAATAGTGGAGAAGATTTGTAGCTCAGGTGGATGATTTTGATGGAGTTTTGTTCTCTGAGCTGGATGGTTTGGTCGTGGAGCTTTCATCGTTCTTCTGAACGACATCAGGTAGAAGACTTCTACCTGAAGTTAGTGCTGATATATATATATATATATATATATATATATATATATATATATATATATATCCTTTTATATATGTTTAGGGAACATTCGACTGAATGAGGTGACTAATCCCTCTTAAAAATGTGCTAAACAAATTTTAAAAAAGGCATCCCAATAGGTGTAATACCACCAAGTCTCGCGGAAGTAATTTAATTGATGATTTTATTCACAAATCTATAAACTCAAAGAACCTACATTGATTGTTTATTCCCTATTAAATTTATTTCTAATCGGTAAATATAATCAAGGTCACTTTGAAATAAGTTCATAATGGGATTTTTAGACTTTATCATCCACTGAAAATTGTCAATATCTGACAGTTTGAAACTTTGCTCGATACAATTGAGTCAGTACTGAGTACTAACTATACAGTGTGGCGTTAAATCCCAGTAACCGATCACATTATACTTGAGTCATTCCTACGTAGAAGGAATTGCGAGCCGATCAGCTCATTAAAGACACCTTTGGCTGATGCTAACTTAGGCTCGAGTTCATAAAGAGACAATATTTCCATTTCAGTTGCATATGTATCTTGCTATTAAGTGCCAATTGTTACGTCAAGAACGGATTTCTACTTTGATTCTTCTTACGTCCTACAAACTTAAAATGCTTGTTGGTGTTGAGTAAGAATTTATGAGAAGCTATTTATGTTTCATTGTTGAACATTACTGAATTCGTTTTGGGAAATTTTACGTAGACTAGTTTATAATGCTAGTTACTGGTGTGATCCTTGAAATTAAAAATAAGTCGGAATCATAAGCCAAATTGAACTACCGACTTACCGTCTACCCATTCTTTCCTCTATCTCTTAATTTACAACAAATAGCCATTAATCAAATATCATTTTAATTCAATCACTAATAGTATCAAATAACCCTTTCTAACTGTTAGCATAATCTAACCAAGACTTATTTATTCACCGTAAGATGCATTTGATTTCGGTTTTATCATTTGTCCATTGATCTCAAAAAGCCTCACTGGAAAAATAATTCAGTAGCCACGACCTATCTTACGTTAATTTAAATAAGAAAAGGTTTAGAAACTACTTTATTTTCAATGAATTACTGTCAAGTTTCTTCTAATAACTATAGCTGCAATTATCTCTACACCAATAGACCACTGAATACTGATAAATGTTATATTACAGTAGTCCTTAGTCCTGATCGAATTTTTATCAACCAAGTCACTATGTTTTGACCGCTAGCCTAAGTAGCTCGATATCGCAATTCACTGTTTGATCGGAAGAACTCGATCAGTACTACGGACTAGACAAACTTAACATTGATTACTACTCTGTGACCATTCAGTAGATATACATATCCTGCTTGGAAGTAACTGATACAAATTCCTGTATCTAGTTTCTGTGCTAGTTGTCACCTACTTCAGCAAGATATATCCATAATCCTGAGTAACTAAATGCTTACTATTGAATTTGAATCTGTACCACCCATAATCACAACCGATAGCTTAACTAATAATAATCTGTTCAAATTGCGACTGATCACTTCTTGATTATTTCATTTTCTAATTAACGATATTAATCCATTTTATTTGTCGTTTTTTTCCATCCATTCATCTGTAGATGTTCAATTCAGAATCAGTGGCTAGTTCATGTGATTGGTTAATATCACATAATGATCTATCTTCTAGTCCCGCTGCTGTTGGCGTCTATTGTACAACTACAATGCGATCAAATATTAAAGCATGGCCAATACACCCATCAATGTTACATAATAATAATATGGTTGAAGAAGAAAACTTAAAAGAAGATAAAGAATCATTCAGTTTATCTGAAAAAGATGAGGAAGAACTAACTGAGAAAACAAAATTATGGAATTCTAAATTTAATATGAATAATCCTAATAATGACGATAATGATAATAAGATTTTAAAAGGTAAAAACTTTTTCAACATGATTCTAATTCAAACTAATTCATCTGATGAATTTCTACTACTCGGTGACAGTAATACCAATGATAATAATAATCAAAATTATCCAACAGTTTTCCATTCAAATCATCAATCAAATTGGACAATGTCTTATTTGCCATCAAATATCACTATGAAGAAATCTCAACCAATTAATAGTAGTTTTAATTTACAATATGCCGATTTTATAGGTAAACTAACCGATAATCACATTAAGGATAATACTATGAAACAATTATGCTTTATGGTTGGTTCACAATCGACTGTGTTATGCTCTTATGAAATATCATTATCAACTTGATTGTAATCCAAATGATAATTAGGTATGTTTTTCCTTGATATTGTTCTGTTGAAAACTGATGTGTACAGATTCACTTTCCATTTTTATATTGGATTGTGATAAATTTATATTGTGTTAAAGGGCAATTATTTTTGCATACTGTAAAGTCTCCCTTCTTTATCTTTCATGTAATAATATATTGCTGAATTATATATATATATATATATATATATATATATATATATATATATATATATATATATATATATATATATATATATATATATATATATATATATATATATATTGACTTTTTGATGATAATAATTACGCAGTAATAGTATACTATACTTGTAATAGATGAACACTCGGATGAGGATAACCAATGTATTTTAACACTAAATCACAGTGTCTTGATAAAATATAAGAACTATACATTGAATACTTCATTTGCAAATTTCCATCATTTGTCATTTACATTCTGTCTGATTCTTCAACTTCAAAATTCCTTTCTATCTTCCCTTCTCTTCAACTCGATCTCCTTAGCCTTCTGCTTCCAGAATTTCTACTTCCGACTGGTGTTACCTACTATTTATGTTGATGGACTTAAGTAGCATACACTACATACTGGCGAACAAACCAAATTCGTCTCTTGAACTTTTGTGCGAAATTTAAGATGTAACAACGAATAAATTGTACTTTCTTAAAAGTATATACAACTAATGCAAAATTTTTGAGGGATGATGAACATGGCAATACTAAGAGATAGGGACTATAATTTGTGGACTTGTAAGGGGGGCTTAAAGTTTCTTGATACCAAAGAACTAACTGCTTAAGTATTCATCCGTATTAGGTTACAAAGTTTTCGTTCGGTCGATTCCCATTCACTACCTCTCTTAGTCGATTATAACGGTAACTTTAATTTTTAAGCCTAACCCTGATTCCCAAACTCCTAAACTTAATCTGTTTTTATGTAGTAAGTTGCATGTATATTCTGCATTTTTTTGGATAAGGATCGGCTTTATCCCTCATGGTCACTTAACACTTGCTGAAGGTCGTCAGCGTGGTATGATGTTACTAATTGCATAAACATTTATCATATTCAGTCAGGAAATCCTAAGTTATTGTGTAAACGACTTGCATAATATTCCGTTTACTAACACACTAGACTGGGGTACACGTGTCAATGAACTGATTGGACTGTTTGAAAAGATTTGCATTTTCTCGTTCATATTTAAGACTAATTTTGATCAAACTGCATTAGGATATTTGCAATTCTGAAAATTTTAACGAAATAACACTGTTCTTTTCGGACTCACTATCAGGTTTATGCATAAATGCAACAATTAAACGACAGTGATATATTACCCATAATCTATATTGCTCCCCATTGCGATGACATAATTTCTAAGTTATAGTCTATTCAATAATAGCGAAGGGTTTTACATAATGTATATATTATTTTAACTTAAAATTGTATATGGTTTCTTTTTACAAGTTTCTACTACATTTCTAGATAATATTAAGTACAATTAATAGAAAGCTATTTACATCTTAGCAATCGATATAACGTCGATTATATACGTATCATTACCAAGGTTTGACTTGATAATTTCAAATAAATTGAGCATTGAGTATGTTGTTATAAATAAAACGAATATATTTGTCACCAAATCAAAATATGATTTGGCCATATATTTTCTGAAGAAGCGGCTTATATCGAGTGACGAAACGTCAGAAAATCTAATTTTTCTGCTCAATCGGATATCACAAATATATCATTTTTATTTATAACGTCGATTACTTATGAGAATTAGCATGAAGGTCATATCAAATTATATCCATTGATCAATGTCTAACCAAAATTATTAACTGTAATTATGATTTAATCAAGTTTCGACTAGAATTACTTATAAATTAGTTTTCTAAAGTAATCATAAATACAATTGTAGGAAGTAACTTCCTGCAGATGAAATTTTAAACTGTTCCACAGACTGTCAAGTACAGAGTCTTAGCCCAAATCAGAACAGATAAACTATGTTTCTATTAATTAGTACAGTCTTTTAAACAGGGAAAAAAGAATGGCATGGATAACATTACTTACTTATCCCTGTTAACCCTCGTGGTGAAGCGTAGGTCACTTACCAGGATTCTCCATTTAACTCTGTCCTGGGCAACCGTGTCCAGTTGCTATTCATCTTTTTCATGTTTGATTCCAATTCTCGGCGCAATGTGTTCTTTGGTCATTCTCTTTTTCGTTTCCCTTCAGGATTCCAAGTTAGGGCTTGCCTCGTGATGCACCGATGATTCCCTCAACGAATATCCTACCCACTTCCAGCGTCCTTCGTAATTTCCTCTTCAGCCGGCATCTGGTTTGTTCTCTGCCGTAGTAGATTGATGTTGATAGTATCCGGTCAACGGATATAAGACATCTTGTGTGGAAAACTGTTTATGAGTATCCATACGTTTTTAATGATGGATGTAGTAGTAGTTCTTAAATTTTCACTTCTGTACAATAGGACTGTCTTGACGTTCATATTGAAGATTCTGATTTTGGTGTACATGAAAAATTCTACCTCTTCCATAGTTTCTCCACCAAGTGTAATAGGGTTAGTGTTGTATTGTATTTGAGGATCTTGCTCTTCCTTTGTTTATGTTGAGGCCTACTGATGAAAAGGCTTCTGCCACACTGGTTGTCGTTATCTGCATTTGTTTGTATGTATGGGATAGAAGGGCCAGGTCATCCACGAAGTCCAAATCGTCTAGTTGCATCCCAGATTTTCTTTCTCTTCCATGCTTCCCCTTAGATGTGGAGGTTTTCATAATCCAGTCAACCACCAGTAGAAAAAGAGAGAGTAAGCAGCCTTATCTGACTCCAGTCCTCACTTGGAATGCGTCTGTCAGATGTCCTCCGTGTGGTGTTGAGCATCTCAGATACACCATGGTGTCGAAGAAGGTTCCATAAGGTCCTTCTATCCACACTGTCAAACACCTCATAGTCAAAGAAGTTGATGTATCGTGACGATTTCCATTCAATTGACTGCTCAACAATGATCCGTAATGTCACGACTTGGTCTGGGCATGATCAATCCTTACGGAATCCTGTCTGTTGATCTCGAGACTGAGCGTCTACTGAATCTTCCATCCGGTTCAGTAACACCGTTGAAAACGTTTCCCGATACCGACAGTAATGTGATATCTCTGTGGTTATCACACTTGCTCAGATCTTATTTCTTTGGAATCTTGATGAGGTACCCTTCTTTCCAGTTTGTCGGCACTTGTTCTTCCCTTTAAATCTTCCTGAACAGGATGTGGAGCATGTTTGCAGTTACTTCTATTTCTGAGTTCAGTTGGTATATTGTCAGATCCTGCTGCTTACCCATTCTTGATTTGTCTGATGATCATCCTGGTTTCGTCGATCGTCGGTGGTGTGACGTGTGTAGAAAAGTTTGTGTGTGTTGCGTTGACGTTCGGTGGATTCAATGGAGCTGGTCTATTGAAGAGATTTTCAGTGTTCTACCCATCTGTTCCTCTGTTCTTCAATCTTAGTGATTGTTTCTTCGTCGTGTCATATAGTTGTTTCATATTTCATTCCTTTGCAGCTTTCTCCTGTCATTGCTAGCTCTTGCACATGTTTCTGCTTGTCGGCTGCAATGCTCCTCTTTACTTGCTTTTTTGCTTCTGTATATTCAGCTTGTGCCTTGATTTTCTCTGTTCTTGTCCCATGATATCGTCATATCCGGTGTTGTTCATTCCGACTCTCGAATTTAGATCACCCATCAGGATTGTCATGTTTTTTCCTGAAAACTTAGCTATGATCGATTGCAACCTCTCTTATCGTCGTCATTGATACCATTAGTGGGTACATAACATTGGATAACATTCATTGATTCTCTCCTTTTTTATTTTGAATGATACTTTGATGATCCTGGGTCCATGAGATTCTCATCTTATAAGTGCAATTCGTGTTTCTTTGGACAGCATCAGAGCAACTCCCTGAATGTGTGGACAATTTTCTTTCTTGTGACGAGAGTACAGAAATATCTCTCTTGAATCTATCCTTTTCTGTCCAGCTTGGTTTCAATGGGTTCCAATGATTCCGAGCATCATCGAGTTGTATCTCCTCATTTTTGTAGCTATCTGACTGGTTCTTCCGGTCTCCCACGTTGTCTGAATATTCCATATACCTATATTAATTGGTGCTCTAGTTGTTAGAAGGGGCACGTGACATTCGAAGAATTTTGGCTTTCATCATTAGGCGTCATAATTCTTCCTTGAACTCGAAGAGCAGAATTAAAATGGTTTAAATGGTTCAATGCGGTTAGGGTTTTTTAGCAGTGTTGTTTTCTACGGGATGGGGTTGCTGACCCTTTGCCCAACCCTCCTCGTTTACCCTGACTTGGAGCCAATAATAACCATAGAAGAGCTACAGGCTACAAGGTCAAAGAGAATTAAGTGGTGGTGTGTTTTTATTGTTGTGACTAGTAGGTTCGTTTATCGATTTCACTTTACAACTAAGCCTAGTATATATCTTCTAAAATATTTGAAACTAAAAAGAAGCAGAAAAAATGTTCAATAAATAAATTACTATCAGAATGGGTTTTATGGAGCGTTTAAGAAATTTCACAGGTCGAAATCATGAGTCAGTTGAAGCTAGACCACCATTGAAAACCTGGAAGCACAGGACGGCCGTTTCGTCCTGGTATGGGACTCCTCAGCAATGCGCATCCACGATCCCGCACCCCGCGGGGCTCGAACCCAGGATCTACTGGCTTCGCGCGCGAGCGCTTAACCATTAGACCATTGAGCCGGGATTTTCCAAATCAATTGTCTTCAGTGAAGACAATGGTGTACGGTAGCGCAACTACGTGGATTGGTTGAAGTTAGACATTAACACCGTTGGATGCTGGCTCAGTGGTCTAGTGTTTAAGTGCTCGCGCGCGAAGCCAGTAGATCCTGGGTTCGAATCTCGCGGGGTGTGGGATCGTGGATGCGCACTGCTGAGGAGTCCTATACCAGGACGAAACGGCCGTCCAGGTTTTCAATGGTGGTCTAGCTTCAACTGACTCATGATTTCAACCTGTGAAGATAAATTACTAATTAAATCAGTAATTCTCCTAAAATTGATGCACTTCATTGCTTGGATCATTTTTCTTTCTTTCTATGCGTTAATGAAAAATCTAATGAATCAAGTTGGTTTTATAATTATT